CTGTTTTTCTACGTTTATTATACGTTTTTTAAACATATTATTTCCGTATACTTTCCTTATACATATTATTTATAGGGTAAGTTGCAACATTAAAAGTTGCAACATATTAATTACAGTTCCCATCTTTAGTGAAGACGATTATAATAATCCATTATTTTTCTCAGCACTTTCACAGGATCACACTCTCGTTCTCACATGGGATATCTCACAAAAAACAGGTGATGTGCTTAATGCAAAATACGAAGAAGACATTGTGTTCATGATTTGTATGACTGTTTATTGGAAAGATGATCATGAACTGTTAAAACAAATCTGTCTTATTGATGTTGAAACTGCGTCAGACTCACGCTTGATCACAGTTGTATGTGGAAACCAAACCAATTTACTGAAAGCATTTGCATTATATTAGAAATGTTTAGCTCCGGATATACATATAGGTTTTAATGATTCACAATATGACTAGCCATTTATTGTGGAGAAGGCGAAAAAAGTTAGGCGTTCTCGAATGGATGTTCAATCATATGTCACTAAAACCTATGAGCCTAGAAAAGATTACAAAATAGCAATATCAATATAACATAATAAAAGTAAATGATGAGAACTTCTATTCGAGACTTCTTAAAATTCCTGAATGCGTGGTTATTGATGTGTAACCCTGTTTTAAGAAATTCTACCCTAAAGCCGAAAAAAGTAGTCTCTCATATTACTTAAGAGAGTGTAATCTTGACAATAAAGTAGATTTACCTATTCATTACATGAATAAATATTATGAAAAGCATTAAAAGAAACTAATGCCATAACGGCTGAGCAGATGCGTGAAGTGGCCAAATACTGCATTATCGATGCTCTTAGCTATCAGCGGTTAATGATCAAGTGTAATGTAATTAATGAATATAGGGAGGTTACAAGTATAGTATTTATATCATTATTCGATACGCATTATTTTGCAATAGGAATGAAAGTGCATAATCTTTTAAGTGCCGGTGCGTGGCAGGAAGGAATTTTAACTAGTACAATTCCATGTAAACAAACAGAAACAGGAAAATACCCTGGAGTCTATGTTTTCCCACCAGTAAAGGGTCTCGAAAATAGACGATATGTAACTAGCTTAGACTTTGTATCATTATATTCAAGCCTTATCATGACATATAATCTCTTACCTGATAAAATCATTTTATCTTAAAAGCGTGTTGAATCTCTAAAGGAAAGTGGTAAAAGGCTTCCTGAAATTAATTTCAAATACAATGGTTGAGATGTTCTCGCATAGTCTATAGAGCATGGAAACCAAGCTGAAATGAAAGGCCTTTATCCAAAAGTATTAGAGGAGTTACTTATTAAATGAAATTCTCTAAAAAGACGTCTTGCTCTATTAAATGATAGAAAAGAAGAATTAGAAAGGAAATTAGTTTGGTAGAAGCAAGGGGCGAGAACATTACAGATGCTTTAAAATCTGAATGCTCTTTAGTTTCCTTTATTGACGCCTGTCTAGACGTAAAATCACTCACCTTAAAAGTGTATATAAATACATTTTACGGTGAAGCTAAGAATAGCGGGTTCTCTTTCTTCTTGCAAGTATTAGCAGGTGGGGTAACATCAGCTGGTCAGTGAAATATCAAGCTTATTGCTAATCTTGTCAGAAGTAAAAGGTTCAGTGTAAAATATGGGGATATAGATTCCTTATATCTTGTCTGTTCAGAAGAATGCTTTCAGAAATGTGATGAGGCATATGATAATGGTAATGGGATCTCGAAAGAAGAATATTGGTCTAAAATGGTAAATACCTCTATGGAAGTAATAGAAAGACTTCGTGATGAAGTTAATAACTTTCTCAGAAATGATAATGGATCATCTTATCTTAAAATGGCGTATAAGAAAGTCTTATTTCTAGTAGTATTTACTGGAAAGAAAAAATATTATGGCATCCCACATAGAAGAGAGTCTAACTTTAATAATAAGCTTTTCATTCGAGTGGTTGAAGTTGTAAAGTGGAGGCAGTCTAAACACTTTTGTGAGGTGGGTAAGAAGGTCATGAATGAATCTATGAAGATGGATAATTTACATACCTTATATCAGATTGTAAAAGACGTGCTCAAAGAGATCATAAATGATATTTTACAGATAGATCTTAATGGGATAGTTAAAACTGCTGTGTGGAAACCCGATAAAAATAATAAGAGTGTCTAGTGTTTCATTTTACGAATGCGAGATAGACATACCTGTGAAGAAGCAGATGCCAAACGACGCATAAAAAGAGCTTAACACCCAAGTCTTATCTTTATAAAATCTCAGAACTAGGCGAATGCTTTGAATATATTGTAGTTGAGAATGATTTATCATGCCTAAGTGCCTCTGGCCAGAGGGTAGGCGATAATATGGAGTATCTAGAAGTAGTAAGATGATTAGGTAAAAAGATCAATATCAGCTATTATCTGAAAATCATTGTCGGTCTCTGTGCATGATTTATTAACTATGATGAAAGTTTCCAACCATCATATGAAATTGTACTGGAGCCTTAAAAAAGTTAAAAGATGGTAATAAAGCAGGTGACAATAAAGTGGATAATGGTGTGGATGAAAATGACCTAGATGAAGACGAAGAGGATGAAGACAAAATGGATGAAGATGAGATATTAAAAATAAGAGATGCCTTAGTGTAGAAATCAGCTGAAAAGTAGATTAGGGAGTATATCAAAAACCTATGTGATAGTCCGAAAAAAAATAAAACCATTATATTTCATTTATGAGAAGAGGCACACATTTACACAAAAACTTTATTTAATACTACTTATGCTAACAAGGGAGAACACCTGACTAACAATGCTTATTACCAATTATTTCTCAATGTGCTAGATAAGCAAGAAGAATCTATCTGCTTAAAACTTTCATCATTGCTTAAAGAAATTTTCGAGGTTGATATAAAGTATAGAGACAGTATGTATAAATTAGTTACTAAGAAACGAGCAATGTCCTTAGAACAATATTTAATATCATATTATTTGGATGAGTGTAAGTTACTAGCAGATTTTTGAAACACATAGTACAAAGTGATTGGCCTAGAAATCACACGCTATCGAATGTTATCAAAATTACAGGATAGTAAAAAAGATGATTTGTCTGAAGCTGATATAGACGATATCATCAAATTATATGGATAAGTACTCTTAGCGGGATGTGGTAATTTCAGCTAAGAAAATCTAACTGTTAAGGCATTTCGTATAATATTATTTACATTTTTTCTCATGCAATAATACCAGATAACTTCAATTCCTATCTTTGAACTTCCAGCCTCCAATCACATAGTCTGACCTTGAATATATCTGGCCAAGTTTAATTCTACTTCTAAACTAGCAATCTGGATTTACATATATTCAGATCGATTCTTCTGCACCTATAAAATGCAAGACGAAATTGACACTATATGCCCAAAGATGTGAAGGAAGGTGCTTAGTTAGAGTTAGTAGTAATTCTAACATTTATTTATGGATATGTAAAAGGGTCATCAATAGGAGGCACCATATAAAAATATGAAACAGAATCATAGATGGTATAATATTTACCCTAATGTACTAGAAAGAATGTGTCAGTATATATTCGCAGATTTATTAAATAAAAAATTCACACTCTGAAAACCTAAATTTCTAGAAGGTTTACATCTAGATGAATACAATAGAGAACTAGGTTTGGCCTTCGAATATAATAGTAACCAATATTGCCAAATCATACCTTTTTTTATCCAGATAGGCAAATGAATATAGATGCGTAAATTCAGCGTGATTGAAAAAAGAGGGCATTATGCTATGAAAAAGGAGTAATCTTCATTACAATTCTTTATTGCATTGTTGACTTAGAGACTTTTATAAAAAGCGCCTTGCACGCATTCGGTTACCTTTCAATATCCACCTAGGAGGAAGCATTGGCTCTTCTTTAATATGCATTAATTGTTCCCTTACAAAGGGACGTTGAAATCCTGAATCATCTAAATAATATAAAACAGGCATTGGGGGATTCTTTCCAACAACAATTCTTCGGATTTTATGTAGGCTAGGAGACCATATTGGGTCTGTTATTTTACACCATTCGAAAGGATTTTTTTCCTATTCTCCTTTAGCAAGCAAAAATCGGACAGTAGTACATTTTAGCAACTGAGGTTCATCAACACCTATTGGGCAATTGTATTTTACTGATAGTTTGGAATACACCTACTCAAGTTTCATTAGGTCTCATTCCAATTAATCAAATTGGGCTATCATTCATGTTATAAACAATTCTTCTCACAAATCGTTTACATTCCCTGCAATGTTCGCCGGTAGGTAAGAGAAATTCTACCGAATACTGATTTTTAAAAACTCTATATTTGAATAATCTAGCATAATGATCGACCATAGCCAAGCTTGTATGTCTGAAATGTGCTATAATTCTTCAGATTTCAACACCATGCTTATTCATTAATAAAGTTACATATCCCATAAACTCAGTGCCCTTATCACATTGTAGTTTTCGAGGCCAGTTAAGGGGATTGTTAGGATTATCATATATACTCTTAAAAGCTTCTGTGACTTCTGCATTACTTTTTGATGTTAAAAAAATGAAATCTTTATATCTAGTCGCACAGTCTATAACCAACAATACATAGTAAAAGATTAGACCATTGTCTAATAAATTTATATTTACATCATCATATGGTATTTCGATAAAATCACATTGGTATACAAAATTCGGTTTTGTGATTCTAGAATAGCTAGCATAAGGTATATGCTTCGGTGAAGAGCGAAAGATTTGATATATTGCTTGAGCATCAAGCCATTTTTTTACATCAGTAAATAGAATGGTATGTCCAGTTTTTTTACATGCATCCTATAATCCCTTAATATTTTGGTAAAGGTTTTCAGGTTGATAATACAACTTCTGTAAGGCAAGATTTCGGTCAAGATCATGCACTTTTTGAGGATCGATATAAATCAAGGGTTCTCCCATTTTTTTATATAATCACAAAAAAAAAGAATGTCATTCTGCAGACCTTGCCTAAGGCAGAGAAGAACATGTGAAGAACATAAAGCTGAACTGGAGGAGGAGAACTATCATCTTCATAGTGAATTACAGACAAAGGTAGAAAATAATCGCCTGAATGAGAAACGGTTTAATCAACTGGAACGCGAATATAGCTAGTGTGAGCAGGAAATTCAAGATCCCAATAAAGACATAGAGCGTCATGAGAATGCTTCAGAAGAAGAAATAGCAAAGCTAAGATCTGAAATCTCTAGTCTAAAAAGTCAGTTATATCAAGCTAAGAAAGATGTGCGAGATAAGGAATAATATATCTCTAGTTTAGAAAAGCAGTTAGTAAAATCTGAGGAGCAGGTAGAAAAATTGCGATGACAGATTAGAACCATCTCATCACGAAAAAATTCACCTGAATGAGGTAATTCTCCAGACTTGTATAATTCTGATGATAATATAGCAACAATCATAGAGCTAGCAAACGCTATAGATAGTTATATGGATAATAGGACAATAGCTAGAGATATTTTAATAGATCAAATAAAAAGGGCAATAAGGGCAGTGACATACTGTATATTACCTAATATTTTTGGGGGTATGGGGGTAACTGTGGGGTATTAAAAATTTTAGGTTACACATACATTTAGGTATCATGTGATATTACTGGCTTAGATTTTATAGATCATGTAATATAAGTGGCTTAGATTTATTAGCATTACTAGCATATACATAAATGTCACATTATAATTGTTATAAAAAAATCAATAAAATCATTCATTATCCGATAAACATTCCCTTAAAT